CACACACACACACACACACACACACACACACACACACACACACACACACAAACGGGGTCCGAAAGGGGGTCAAATCCCCCGACAGGTGAGTGCGCTGGGGGGGCCCGACCCCCAACCGGGTGCCCTGCCTGGCCAGGCCGCCCGGGACCTCCCCCGGGCCCCTGCCGGCACCCGGGCGGCCCGGATCCCCACGCAGAATTTTACAATAAATAACAATTGAACTGTTTACTCCCGCCCCCTGTATCCCTCTTGAGTAGTCACTTTGTGTCGACAACCTGAAGCCTTGGTTCAGCGGCTTGTCTGAAGGTGTGCAATCGGCTCACCCTTGTGCCCCAAGTCATTGCAGAACTGGCCAGCCCCGACCGTACTATTTTTATACTCGCGTACAGCACGAGTTATCCCCACCAGAGTTTCTTTATAGACGGTCCGATCCTCATCTCTTCCTCAATAGGGCTGGCCTGCCTGACATGACCTCTACAGCGCAGCAAGCGGACCAAAGGACAAGCGGCGAAGCATGCGTGTACTAGTCCCAGCGGGTTGGCATGGTGACCATGACCCGAGTGCTACGCCCAGGGCCCTTCAGAGGCAACGTCCATCTCCCACTAGCTTTCTCCCCATGAAGAATGTCGCCTCTCGAGAGGACTCTCGAGACAGAACTCATTTCCTCACGGTAAGAAGTAACAAGGAGGGTAGATAAGGTAAGGAGCTGCGTACCTGGTAATGCTGCCCCCAACCACAGATTTCTCACCAGTAACCTGACGTGCATTTCTGATGACTGGTCGAGAGGACTCTCAAGACAGAACTCATTTCCTCACGGTAAGAAGTAACCAGGAGGGTAGATAAGGTAAGGAGCTGCGTACCTGGTAATGCTGTCCCCAACCACAGATTTCTCACCAGTAACCTGACGAGCATTTATGATGACTGGTTGATGCCTCGGCACAACCCACAATACAATGCACAACCCGCAATACAATGCAGTTCCACCGCAGCTAAAATTGCCACGTCAGCAAGTTCTCATCATCCAGCATGCACCCGTATGTCACCACATAGCCTTCCCGATACCCACACAACCCTGGGCTGCCAACACACCAACGCACAAGCATTATTACTGCCCCACCATATCCAGCGAAGCACCAAACAGCTATTGTGAAGGAGCCAGCAGAGCGGCTCGAACCAGCTCTAATACCGAATTGCAAGGAAAGTGAGCGATAGCAAAATGACAAAAATCCAGAATGCAAAATGACATTGAAAGCCAGAAAGTCCAACTCTGTCCAGCAAGCAGAAATGCATTGATATGCCACCAACAGAGAACCAAAGCACCGAATCCGAATGTCAATGAGAGCATACTCTCGCCACCACCAACATATGTATCCAGAGCCCTTCCCCCAACTTGCACTCAGCGCCCAGACTACGATCACACAGCTACTAGCAGCCTACGAATTGACAATGCATCCTGTTGGGGCCAGCAGAAACAACCAAGTACATGAAGATGTCGACCTTGTAGACCATCGCCAAAACCAGGTATGTGCCCTCACATCATCATCCTCATCCCTCTCTCTCTCTCTCTCTCTCCCTCGTCTTCTCTACCAACCTCTTCCTCCACATACACGAAGAACACCACCACCACCATCACATTGAACAGTTTCGAAGATCCAGTCACCAAGCGCTGAAAAGAGCAGAATTCAGCAACCCAATACGAGCACCCTAATCTAAGGTAGGTGACTCACCTCTCTCCCTGGCTCATTCTCTCGTTCTTTCTCTCTCTCTCTCTCTCTCTCTCTCTCTCTCTCTCTCTCTCTCTC